ACCTTGGTTCATTGCAAAGCAACTAAAACATTCAGGTGTATGTTGGGACTCTTGAGGAATTTATTCAACTCCGTTTGAGGACAGGAGAGAGCTCTCAGAAAATCTGACCTATTTTTATATTGGGTACTACAATTGATGGTATCATGGGTACACTGTAGGTTGGCATCATATGGCATTTTGGATTGCTAGAGCAACACACTTTGTGTTAAGATACTGGGTTACCACAACCTTGGTAGTGGGTTTTAGTTAGGCTATGGGGGGTTGGTCTCAATAAGGATTATTAAGGGGTCAGCAAAGGTGGATTTGGATAGGGATTTGGGGTTTAAAGAGCTGCAATGAGAGGGAGAGATCTGACACTGTCAGAAAACCAATTAAGGGATGTCAAGGTAAGATATAGTTTGTGACAGGGTGCTAGCTGTAGCACCCTGGTCACTGAGATTGCTGCAGCACAGAGAAGGCTGCAGGCTTAACTGGAAGCAATTAACCAGTTTCTGTTGGGAGATTACTGACACCTGGGTGGTAATTGCTGGGCTAATGAGACAATTGGCTCAGTAGTTGAGAGGATATATAACTGGGAGGAACAGGAAGCAGAGGAGCTCAGTGAGTGAGTTGGCAGAGGAGAGAAGGCTGTGTGCAAACCTTCTGCTGAATACCTGTGTCATGTTCTGTTTTGCTTAAGAACTGAAGAATAAATGTACATGTGGTAAAAGGGAAACTGTCTGGGTGTGTTTGTGACTGAGGAACCCCAAAAACAGGCTAGGCAGCACTGCTTGCTGGATAGCTGATGTGGCATCCCGTGAAATAATGCTACAAGAGTGTAGGTAGGCTGGGATTGGTCCAGCTAAAGTAGTACAGACTTGCCTAGTGCAGAGGCCTGCTGGTGTCAGGCTACTGTTTCCTCACAGGGAAGAGGGTTACCTCAGAAAAGGACATCTCCGTTCTTGGGGATGCTGAGGAGCATGTGTTGTTGAGGTTTCCCTAATGAATTGGGATACCATTAATTTAGGACTGGAGTGGCTATATCCACAGCACAGTTTGAAATAGGAACACAGTTATTTCAGATATCAGTGGGGGCATCGAAATGCATACAAGTGTATGGATGTCCCCTTCTGGGATGATGATTCAGTGGTCTAAATATGCTATACTCTTCCCTTTTATCTCTTCCTTCAAGATCAAGATAATGGGTCACAGGAATAGGCATCTAGTTGTGGAGGCAAAGTATTGTGCACTTGGCCCCCACAGGTGAGTGGCCAGTTCTCTCTGGAAATTCAAAGCTGGGCCTCAGTGATGAGGAAGCTTTAAATTGGCATAGATGGAGGGGCAGACTCTGGGACCAGCAGCTTCCACTCTTACATTCATTGGCCAGGGAGGGACCATGTGAATGGATCAGTGTGTAACTTGTAGGAAACTATTTGGGGGTTTAGTAAAGGAGTACAGATAAGGATTAGGACAAAGATATTAGGGGTGGAACGAAGTCCTTTTCCTGGGGGTAATTGTGAACTGGCCTGAGCTGCTGCAGTGGAGGATCTGATGTGGGGAGTGGGTGGGCAAGGCCAGGTGAGAATTAAATTGACTGTTGGCTAAATTATGTGAGCAGGAAAAATTGATGATTACCCATCATGAAAATGCATATTCAGTACCTGAGTTATTCAAGGAAGAGGTTGTACATCTCTCCAGTGGGGAATGGAGGTTAATCTGGACGCTATTAGGGAATGAAGTGTTAACAATCTGGGAATCCAGCAGGCATGGTGAGGAGGCAGCCAAGCAAATTTCTGGTGCCTCCTGGTGGCAGTGCCCAGTGCAGGTAATGGTTCAATATGTGGTCTGGTTCACTGATAAACTGGAATTGGAAATGGATTAGGAGAAGGCATTTCCCAAAGAAGTTGGGAACTGGCGTCAGGGATCTTAATGTCCAATACATTGAGGAGACAACCGCTCCATAACTCTCATATGAGGAAAAGGCAATAGGTCCCAACAATGGTGCTGGGACCAGGTTGACTGAGAGCTGGGGAGGCCGACGGCAGCCCTCCACCAGGTGGCATGAATTACAAAGGAAGGGTGACCTGCACTGGATGAGTTGTTGCTGGATAGTTTCCAAATGTGTTAATAAAGTTGTGGCCTAGTTAAACAACGTTCCTGGTGTCTTGTCTTGTCTTCCCACGGTGCAAAGAGTTCTGCCAGTTGAACTTCATTTTTCATCAGGAAAAAAATTGTTCCTGGTACATGAGTTCCAGAGTTTACCCTTAAATGAACTTGAGGTTTAATAACTCCTAAAAAAAAAAATGTTTTTTATCCTTTTGTCCTCATCCAAAACATGAGAAGAGACTATGGAATTAGCTGGGACACCTGATATTTAGTGAAGAACTGGTAGGTGTATAGGACAGAGCAAGAAAAAATTTCTAATTTAACTTTCTCTGAGTTACATGTCCACTACACCAACCAGCCTTTTTAAAATGATTTGTTACAGCATATGAAGATACTGAGATGCATTTTATGTAACTAATTCAATAACAGTTTTCCAGTTGTGTATAGCATTGAAAGAAACTAAAAGTTCCGTTTTTGCACTGAAGAAGCTTACAGATGAGCTTTGTAGCTGCCCTCACATACTGTCAAGGAAGGATGACCTTTTAATTGAACATCTAATTCATAGAGAAGAAAGTAGCTAATATGTGAGAAATTTTTCTTCTCTGATTAAGTGTACTTTGCCAGCTTAAAGCTTCCTCCAAACAGTCAACATAATGCTGCACTGTGTTTTGGTTTCTAAGAGTAATACAGTTAGCAATTTCCCTTTAAAAGTATGTGTCAGCTGTCAACATTGTGATGTGCCTGATCTCCTCTCTCTTGCAGAGCACGATTCAATTCTAAACCCAAATCATCTGCATAGCAATGCAACAGGGCTGCCATGATGGCTCTCTCCCTTCTATTTTTTAATTCCCTATTCCTATCCAATACATTTTTATTTTATGTTTTTGAGCAAGCTGAAACTGCTATACATTGTTAACTAATTTTACTTGTCTTCACTTAAAATCACTGAAATAATCAGTGTAAGTTTTTTTGCTTACACACTTATTTTTAGCAAATAAGCTACTTTATTTAACTTATGACTCGTCTAAAAATGTTGAAAGTATTGAATTTTAAGGCATAACATTCACACTCTGAAAAGGGAACAGTGACAAGTTCAGTCAAAAGGAAAAAGAGGAATAATTTATAAAAGGAAGATAATGATGCCAGCCAGTTGTTTTAAAGTGCATCTATCTCAACTTTAATGAATTAGATTTGTCAACAGCATATATTTTATGCACTACTTCTAATGAAGTGGCATACCGGCAATGCAGTGTACTTTGAGGTTTACTCCATCAAAGCTTTTTGCTGTCTTAAAGTAGACCTTTTTAAATAATAGATACTAAAAACTACATTTAAATAACATTAAGGTTGTGACACAAACACCAAATGACAAACTTCAGGCAATTCAAAGTTAAGGCTGACAACTTGTCATTAACTCACATTGTTGCTTTTTAAAAAGAAGCACAATAGCATGATTTAAGGACTGAGTGTCAGCTTAACTTTAAATTTCTTGGCTTTTGTTCTCTGGTGTCACAACCTTAATGTCATTTTTCATATAGGTTTTTGCATTTCCTTTACTACTTATTTCTTTAAAAAAACACTGTGTGTTTTTGTACCCAAGAGACAGAAATGGATTCTTCAGTAGTTTTGGTCTATTTGTTAAAAGCATATTTAGGAAGGAGTTTAATTTTTAATTGTGGACTAGTAGTGGTATTAGTGTTTCCCAACCTACACCCCAGCTACTTGACTGAGAGTTTTTCCCATTGCCATAGCTGATCCATCCTGGAAAGCACTCCAGAAGGAATTTCCATTCCTTTATATAAAATAAAGAGTTTTTAAAACCCTCCACAATTCTCACTCATTTTTAAAAATTACTTGACTCGAAAGAGGTAAGAACCTTCTTTTCACAAAGTTGTATTATAGAATATTCAGTTGATGGATGGGATATACTGTACTTCTATAGCAGGGGTCGGCAACGTTTGGCACGCGGCTCGCCAGGGTAAGCACCCTGGCGGGCCGGGCCAGTTTATTTACCTGCTGACACGGCAGGTTCGTCCGATCGCGGCCCCCACTGGCTGCGGTTCGCCGTCCCGGGCCAATGGGAGCGGCGGGAAGCCGCGGCCAGCACATCCCTCACCCACGCCGCTTCCCGTCGCCCTCGTTGGACCGGGATGGCGAACCGCGGCCAGTGGGGGCCGCGATCAGCCGAACCTGCCACGTC